CTGGGTTCCCTCTAGGCCAATGGGCTGATAATCTCTAGGCTGACACTGTGGGCACCAAGCTCCAAAAAGAAACAGAGAAATACATTTTTATCCACAAATAATTTTTATTGGGAAAAATCAGAGCAAGTGCTTTCCCCAAGAAATGCAGAGTGAGCGGCCCTACTGTCAAATTTGACTTTGTCCATTTAATAGTGAATCCTTGAGCTCATCACTGAAGTTCTTCCTCCTCGTTCTCCATCCCACTATTGACACTCATGGAGAATGGGGACGCCTGTAAGGGAGGACATGGCCTGGTGCAGAGTGATGGAGAGAAATGCCCATGGCACCTTGGCAAGTGTTTCCAGTGGTGAGAGCACTGACCCAAAGGGTCTCAGATTTGATTCTTGGTCAAGGGCAAGTACCTTGGTTGCAGGTTCAATCCCCAGCCCGGGCCGGAAAGGCAACTAATAGATATGCTTCTCACATCGATGTTTCCTATTGCTCTCCCTTCCACTCTCTCTAAAAATCATTGAAAAAATATCCTTGGGTGATATTTTTTTTAAAAAGATGCCCATGGCCATGCCTCACTCTTGCTACTTTGGTCTCCGCTCCTTAACAGACTCCTCTCGAGCTGTCTGCCTCCTACACCCAAGGGAGACCCCGGAGGGACCCGAGCTCAGACCCCAGCTGAGCCTCTGTAAAGCCTGTCCTGCCCCCTGCATCGCCCTCAGTCTCCTCCTCCCACTCCCATGCATCCCCTGGTTCTCACCTCCAGGAGCAATGTGGCCCCAGCCAGTCACCCAGCACCGTGTGCCTGGTAGGAATGCAGAGGAAGCTGGCGGGAGGCGGATCCATCTGACTAGGTTAGATGGTCGCACGGGGGCCTCCAGTTTGAGAAGTGCCACGTCCGCCCCACCTTCTGCTTCAATTTCAAGGCTGTACTTGGGGTGGCGGATGATCTGGGCCACCTGCACACTGTCATTGTATGAGCGTCTCACTCGTCCTAGTTGGACCTTAATGTGCCGAGTCACTGGGTTTGTCCTGGGGACAGAAGGCCAAAGGCTTCTGAGAGGCTGTGGCAGGGAGTAGGCCAGCCCCTCAGAGCCCACAGAGGGGAGCCTGTGTGGTGGGCAAGGGGAGCGCCAGGAAGCTGAATTCTGGTGGGGGGTCAGCAGCCACTCAGCCCATCATCTGCCCCCAACACACACACATGCCTCCCGACATTGTCCACCCCTCACTGGGTGCTGGCAGAGTCAGACTTACCCTGGAATGCAGTGGGCAGCGGTCATCACCCACTGGGGATGGATGAGGGAGCCCCCACACCAGAAAATCCACTGTTTACTTGTTGGATCAAAGTTCCACAGGCCCACCTGCCACGGCCACTTCCCATAGGCAGCATCATGCCCACCCACAATGCCCATCAGCTCAGTCCCTGGGCCAGGATCTGGGGAAGCAGAGGAGGAGCCATCAGGGACCCAGGCACTGCTGCCCGGCACTCAGCATGGCCCCATCCTCAGTCCCTCCCAGAGCCACCCTAAGAGGGGGATTGCCACCCATCCCAGGGGCGGCCTCTGAGAGGTCAGTCAGGGATTCAGAGACAAGCCAGGCTTGGGGGGTCAAGACTCACCTGAGGTCATAGGTACAGAGCCCCCCAGACTGGGGAGAGTCAGGACCAGCAGCCACAGCATCTGCAGGGGGAGAGGGGAGGGAGGAGAGCCAGTGAGGAGATGTGGGGCGGGGATACAGCCTGGGAAGGGAGAGGATGGGGCTTTCAGCAGTGTCCTCACCATGCCAGGTCTGTCTGTCTTCTGTCCTGGATGCTCTGAGCACCTTTATCCTCCTGCCAGACCCTCCCAAGGGGAAGCCGCCCTCCTTTGGGGTGGACCATGGGAGGAGGCGGGGCTTATGCCTTCAGTGAGACCAGTGGTGACCAGCAGACCAGCTATCAGATGAGAAACATGGTGTTTCCTCTCTGAGAT